GGCCCCACCTCGACCCTGGGCCCCACCTCGACCCTGGGCCCCAACCGCCCGCTCCAGCCCAGCCGTCAGGTCCCTGAGACCCAGTACTCTTACCTGGAAAATAGGCAGTCAGTAGTGGAGCAGCTGCAAGCACTGGGCCCAGGGAGCGGCAGAAGCCAGCTTTATACCCCTATCCAACTCAGAGCCCACCCACACTCCACCCTGAAATCTGCTCCACCTTAGGGTGGGTTGCCCTGCCTGCTACACCTGCCCTATCCAGCACCCCAGCTGGTCTAATCCTCTCCACTGGAGCTGCTGGTCTCAGAGCCCCTGGAACCCCAGCTGGTCCAACCTGTCCCTCTGGCTCCCACCTGGTTCCAGAGACCCGGACCTGGGGTTGCCTCCTTCTGCCACCTCACCAGGCAAGAAGAGACAACATGGGAGAGGTCTTTTTTTTCTTTTCTTTTCTTTTTTTTGTGGAACTGGGGATTGAACTCAGGCCCTTGCGCTTGCCAGGGAAGTGCTTATTCCACTGAGCCATCTCCCCGGCCCACCCCTTTTTTTTTTTCTTTCTTTCTTTTTTAACCTTCCAATCCTGGAGTTTGAATTGGGAAGGTTCCCATTAACATGTATCTCCAGTTCTTTTATTTTTCATTTATTTTGAGACCGAGTCTCACTAAGCAATTGCTCAGGCTGGGGGAAACTATAATAATCTGCCTCAGACTCTCAGAGTGCTGGGATTACGGGTGTGCACAACCATGCCCACCTCTAGGCAAGACAATTCTTAAACTCATCAAGAATCAGAACTCAGGGCCGGGAAGATGGCTTAGTGGAATAAGCGCTTCCCTGGCAAGCGCAAGGGCCTGAGTTCAATCCCCGGTTCTGGAAAAAAAAAAAATGTATAAAAAAAAAGAATCAACTCAGGAGGCTGAACCAGGAGGATCACCAAGAGTCCAGGGCCAGCCTGAACTATACAGGGAGATCCTGTCTTAAAAATAAAAGCAAACAAACAAAAATTTCATCTGGAAGAACAGAAAAACTGTAGCCGGGTGTGGTGGCACACATCAGTAATCCCAGCATTTGGGAGGCTGAGGCAGAAGAGTCGAGGACAGCCTAGGCGACATGGGGAGTTGGAGGCCAGCCTCAAGGCTGGTGTGGTAGCCTCGGCCTGAAATCCTATCACTGGGGAAGCTGAGGCAGGAGGATTACCATGAGTTTAAGGCCAGCCTGGGCTCCACAGTGAGACCCTGCCTCAAAAAAACAAAAAAAACAAAGGTGCCATGAGGGGCTAGGAATGTAGCTAAAGCCTGTCACGAGCAAGGCGCTGTGCTCAGTCCGCAGCACAGACCAAAAAGCTATTGATTCAACTATTTTGATTGTGTGGCTATGTAAAATCAAACAAATACAGTGTGAAAAAAATCCTTGGTGAATATAATAAACATAACAAACAATGGACAATTTTTTTTTTAATTTGTAAAATTCATTCAAATTAGTGATTCAAAGTCTAGGACTTTCATAAGTAAAAGGACGATCCAGCAGAGAGTCCACTGGAAAAGTTACACATTTGCTATCCTATTTTATTTTTTTGCGGAACTGGGGATTGAAGTCAGGCCCTTGTGCTTGCCAGGCAAGCACTTATTCCACTGAGCCATCTCCCCAGCCCTATATTTTATTTTTGCATTTACTATTTTAATCTTTCAATCTGTTTTTGTTTGTTTGTTTTTGTTTTGTTTTGTTTTGTTTTTTTAGGCAGGGTCTCACTTGCAGTTCAGGGTGACCTTGAGTTCACTTTGTAGCCCAGAATGGTCTTGAACGGGCAATGCTCCTGCCTCAGCCTCCCGAGTGCTGGGATTACAGGCTAGTGCCACCAACCCAGGCCCATTTACTATCTTAATCTTGAAAGAGGTCGGATATGGTGACACAAACCTGTAATCCCAGCACTCAGGAGGCTGAGGCAGGCAGACTCCCTGTGAGTTTGAGGCCAACCCAGGCTACACAGCAGGACAGCCTCTCAAGGGAGAGTCTCTTTTTAGTTCTGTTTTTGCAGTACTAGGAATTGAATCCAGGGCTTTCGCTGTGAGCTACATCTTCAGCCGTTAATATTTTTTTATTTTTGAATGCTTATGAGTGCACAGTGATTGCATTCTTCAAGGAGCATCCGCGCAGGAGCACAGGCACCCCCACTTGCGGGCCTTCTCCTCCTCCCTCTGCCCCCTCCACCTCCAGCCGCAGCCCCCCTTCCCTCAGCAGAGGCCCGGATCCCTGTTTAGTGCTGTCTTTTCTTCTCTCTCCTCCCCCAACCAGGGATTGAACTCAGGCCCTTGCGCTTGCCAGGCAAGCGCTTATTCCACTGAGCCACCTCTTTAAGCTATTCATACTTGGGGCTGCTCGTGTGTGAGAAACCTCAAGGTACTTTGCTCGTGTGTCTGACTGGTGTCGCCTGATGTTATGGCCTCAGGGTGTGTCCACTTGCTTCAAATGAGTCAAGGTTATCTTTATTCCCAACCCTTCATATCTTACTCAGTTGTTAAATGGCCCAGGCTGGTCTGTCTGTCTGTCTTTCTTTCTTTCTATATTTTAGGGAAGGGTCTACAGGGTGATCAGGGTCTCACTACAAGAACACACTTATAGTGATCCGCCTGTTTACAGACTTCCAAGAGCTGGGATTACAGGCAAGCGCCACCAGGCCCAGTCTCAATTGCCATCTTGGGCCAGCACGGCAGGCCTGGGGATCAAACCCTCAGATCCTGTGCCTGCTTGCAGGCGCTTTAATCCGCTGAGCTATTTGGCCACCCTCTTCTTTCTTTCT